ATTATAATATTAGGATTGGATTTTAAACGATGAGGAACGGGAGGAAAGGCGTCAGAAAATAGAAACTAATCGCCAACAGAAAGGAAAAGAAATAACAATGAAACGAAAAACTAAAACAAAGACAAAGCGTGTGTCCAACAAATTAGACAATGAAAACAGTTGTCCAGAAAATGGCTCCGAGAGTGTTATGATTGACAACCACTCAATCGCTGACACATTAAGCGAGGAGCAAAATAGTAGGTCACAGGACATGGATAATGACTTTTACGTACCAAACATAGACTCCTCGGACATTGATAGCACCGATAGTTACTATGAATCCCAATCGGCGGTCGTCGCGATCGCAAAACCCATCAACGATTACAACAACAATAACTTCAATGAAAATGAGATGCATTTTGTGAGCGAACTCTTGTCGGCCATCAAACACATGAAGCGAAACTTAGTGGCCATCACTGTCTGGGAGCCCACGAACTTCGATGACTTCTTCAGACCACTGATGCATAAAAACGAAGAAAGCATTTCGTCATTCGTGAAGACATGTAAGAGTTTGAAGGCATTCAAAGACATCTGCGAAAGGGACCAAATGACACTTTTCAAGAGTGGGGGCATTGAAGCCCTCACTTTCCATAGGTATACCCGTTTTGATTATGACAACGACTGGTGGAAAGTTGTTATGGTAAAGTTAATTTGCTTATATTGATAAAATTAATAGCTAATTTATAATTTATGCTCCAGGACAACGGCAATGCACTGATATTAAGACTGGACCTTTTAAAACAGCACCGATTCGAGACGGTTTACCCGATGTCCAAAAAAGTTTTAAATAGCATTAAGCACACCTTAGATCTAGACTTTAATATAATATATCTGGTAATCATCATAAAGTTATTTAATGTAAACACTATTTTTAAAATTTGTTTAACACCTTTCGCTCCCCGGTATGACAGTTGCTGCCCATAATGATTTTCAATCCTAATAAAACTAACCTTGTACATCCAGAGATTGTTAGGTAAGTGACCACTCATTTGTATGAATTATCACTAATTAAATTCAATTATGTATTCATAGGTTTCAACAGCAGTTATACATGTTTTTACTTCAGAGGTATTTGCGTATAAGATATGGCTCTGAATGTGACATCAAATTAGCCCAGATTTTGAACATTATACAAGACATACGCCAATTGACTGACATTCATAATCAAGACACTCGGCTCAAGGATCCTAAATTGTTGGGTCCATTGCTCCGGGAGGTTCTCGACATAGAGTTACCACCAGTGGATCAATACTCGTTGACTGCATTATAAAAACTCAAATATTACCTAAAACTCACAAACAACTCATTAAAACGCTTTCATGTAAATAAACATTATTTGAATTTATATCAAATCTGTTTCATTAAATAATTTCTCTATTTATTAATTGTGAAACAGGAGTGCAATAAATATCCGTTTGATGGCAAATGCGAAGTCAATGTACAGACCCGTAGACCATTGCTGCAGGTGTCGACTCCGCAAGGGTTATGCCGTCGAAATGAAACATGTATTTCCTTTCATTCATTATATTGTTTACTTTTGATTTAATAATCAATATTTTATTAATAGGAATGGCATTAAAGTAAAAAGAAAAATGAAAACAAAGAAATTGATGGATATTTGAAAACTAACCGAATATGTGATAAAATTGATAATAATCTGTGTACTGTATTACAAAACACAATTACTGTATTAGTACAAAATAATAAAATTTCTCTACTTTGTTTAATATTAAATTTGTGCTCAAATTATTTGTGGAAATAAGTGCGGTCATGTAATATTTAAAAATTACATTTAACAATATTTGTTTAAAATTTAAATTTAAGTTTAATTTAATAGCAAATTGTAATATTTATTTTGCAAGACTCTTAAACATTTTGTTAAAATATTTAAAGTTTAACCAATTATAGATATATTTAGTAGTGACAATTTTTATCAAAAATCATGGCGGAAAAAGTGGATAAAAGGGAATTCCTACAATAATCATACCGGTAATTAAATAACTGAAGGCTGTGTATTGTTAATTAAAGTGTAGTTTCAAAAGCAGTACTGTAGTTTTGAAAAACATAATTTATTTAAACATTTAATTATTTTATATCCAATTTAATTTCAGGTTAAATGTAAAAATAAGTATTATTATTAACTATTTTGGTGTTTTTAATTATTTTCATATACTGTTTTAATTTTATTATTACAAGCAAACAGTTTTACCTGAGTATTAATAAACATTTATGTATTTTGTTATACTATAATAAATTCACTGTAATTATTAGATAAATTTATACAATACAATTTAATTACAATTGAAGCATTTTATAATATTAAACTGTTTTGTATAAACATGTGTATAAAATAGGCATACAATTGATTTAAAAGCTAGATAAATAGCTAACATATTAATATAATATACTGTAGTGTTAGAAACTTTTTAGTACATACGTACTGGTGGAAAGTCTACAAGTATCGTATAATTAATTTTACAACGCAAATGTTGTATCCCATAGCAATGATTTTATAAGATATTTACTTTACTTACTTATGATACTATATCTACTTACTTTAAAAGTTAATATTAATACAGTATTCATATATTATTCTTATAAATAACTTTCATTATTCATTATAATAGGAATCACTTTGTTTTCCCAGTATATGTGTTACTTATAATTTTAATTATTATTAAAAATTTTTATATAAATGATTACCAAAAAGATGTCAAATAAACGGAAAATATGTTTGGTTTGTGGGGATAAAGCAATTGGTATGATATTCATTGATATTTTATTATTTTATATTTTAGTACAGCTAATCAAATTGTCATCAAATATCTACAAATTAATTAGATGCAGAGACCATATAACTATAAACAAATTTTAAACTAATAATACCTAGATTGTAATATAACATTGTGATTTATTTATTTAACTACTAGCAGTTACATTTATGATATTATTGTCAAATTGTAATCAAATAATGTTCGGGGTAACTATTGAAGTTTAATTCTAGATTTTACAAATTGTATGAATTGGATGTGTATTGATTTCAACTTGTTTATATAATATTAGTATAAACTTCAAGAATATTTTCGATTTACTAATTATAAGTTTTAAAAATCTAATTTTAGGCAAAAATTTTGGTGTCATTTCGTGCGAGTCTTGTAAAGCATTCTTCCGGAGAAATGCGGCAAAAGTTGATGTAATTATTGGTTGAAATAATTAGTTTCACAATCTAACTTATATTTTAATTGAATATACGACCAGGATTATGTTTGCTATTTCATCGAAAGTTGTAAAATAGACTCAAATTCTCGAAAATTCTGCAGAAGTTGTCGATTGAAAAAGTGTTTCGATGTCGGAATGCAAGAGGTATTCATTGATTAAAAGGTATACAGTTTTCATATATATACTAACGATTTAGTTATGTTAGGAATGGATACTCAAAGATGAGGAACGGGAGGAAAGGCGCTTAAAAATAGAGACTAAACGAAAACAGAGAGAATATTCTATAAAAAGCAAACCAAAGACTAAATCAAAGGTAAAGCGTGTGTCAAATAAATCATACGTTGAAAACAGTTGTCCCGCAAATGAATCGCAAAGAGATCTCATTATCACCGACACTATCCCGGACACTATGACTGATACTTTCAGCGAAGAATTAAACAGTAGATCACTGGACATGGATATAGACTTTTACACACCAAACATGGGTTACTCAGACATTGAAAGCACCCATAGTTCCTATGAATCCCAATCGGCGGTCATCGCGATCGCCAAACCCATCAACGATTACGACAACAATAACTTCAATGAAAATGAGATGCAATTCGTGAGTGAACTCATATCGGCTATCAATCACTTGAAGCGCAACTTAGTGGCCATCACTGTCTGGGAGCCCACGAACTTCGATGACTCCTTCAGACCACTGATGTATAAACACGAAGAAAGCATTTCGTCATTCGTGAAGACGTGTAAGAGTTTGAAGGCATTCAAAGACATCTGCGAAACGGACCAAATGACACTTTTCAAGAGTGGGGGCATTGAAGCCCTCATTTTCTATAGGTATACCCGTTTTGATTACGACAACGACTGGTGGAAAGTAGTCCTGGTAAAATATGTTCATAATACTGATACTGCATGTGGTAATACTGTATTCCTAACTATAATACAATCGCATTTGTCTGTTAGGACACCGGCGATGCAATAATATTAAAATTTGACATGCTAAAACAACACCATTTTAAGGGTTGGTATCCGATGTCCAGACGAGTCCTGCACTCAATCAGACATGTCCTGGATCTAGATCTTAACATTATATACCTGGTAATCATTGTTTTTAATTATAATCTAAGATAGGGTAGTTTTTCTAATTTAAATCTTATTGATACATGATTTCTATTTATTGCTGACAGTTACTGCCGATAATACTATTTAACCCAGACCAACCAAAACTAATACATCCAGAGACTGTTAGGTATGTGACCACTAATTTCCCCATTTGTTGCCTATTATTACATTCATTGCATTCATTGAATGTATTCATAGGTTTCAACAGCAGTTATACCTGTATTTACTTCAGAGGTATTTGCGTATAAGGTATGGCTCTGAATGTGACACCAAATTAGCCCAGATTTTGGACATTATACAAGACATACGCCAATTGACTGATATTCATAATCAAGACACTCGGCTAAAGGATCCTAAATTGTTGGGTCCATTGCTTCGGGAGGTTCTCGACATAGAGTTACCACCAGTGGATCAATACTCGTTGACTGTTTTATAATTAAATCAAATATTTCTAAAAAAAAATAATAAACAATCAAACATTAAATCGCTATCACAGTCATGTAACTAATCATTTAAATTAACATTAAAAAAATATCACCAAAATTATAACTTAAAAAACAATTTTATTCAATCAGTTCTGCAATCAATTCATTACAATGTTACACTGAATTTAAAATCTCAATTCATGTATGAAAATTCAGACAACAAACGGCATTCCCATAAACTAGTTGTCATATAATGTCAGTTAATTAAAAAGCAAAAAAACTAATTAATGATACACTCAATCGCATTGAAATGTATGTGTGGGACAGGTAGTCAACGATAATATCTCCACTGGGGGTCCGTCGACTACATCGTCAACTCCATGATGGCGTTCACGATATCGTTATTATTATTCTTGAGGGCTTTGACGGCCTTAACTCTCGACACATTCGCCTGACTCATCACTAACTCGATATCCTTGGCCTCCACTCCCGACTCGTCCACCTCTTGCTCCTCATCGGACTCCTCGGCTATCGGTGCGGTCGTCGGCTGATTAATACCGGGCGCC